ACACACACACACACACACACACACACACACACACACACACACACCTCTGGGTCTCAATCTCTGAAAACTACAGACACAGGAGCATGGGCAAATGAAGGAAACATTTTGTGGAACTCTTCACACGGACCCACCACCCATGCAACAAGTCTCTGCTCCTATCCCAGTCCCTCAAGTCACCTCTGAGGGACCCCCCTTCAGCAACTACCTCACCTCTTGATCTTTGTCACACTTTCTTCCTGGGTCTCTCTCTCTAAGTCTCTGAGACCTGTGGATCCCAGACCACAGAAAAAGAGCAAGCAGATTGTCCTGAGCCAAGCAGAAGACCGGCAGGGCCAAAGGCAGCGGGCAGCCCCCTGGGCATTCCAGGTTACTCTATGGTGCTCTCGGAGAAGCAAGCAACCCATGTTGCCCACCAGTTCCATCTCAGCCCAAATCTGCCTCCCTGCCAACTTCCCTCACCATAGCCAACTTCTTCCTAGGTCATCAAACAAGACTAATTTCTTTTTCCTTCAAGTATTTAAGAAAATAAAGTCTCTTCCCAAGTTTCCTGTCCTCTAAGCTAAACACATCTTGTTTGCCATGCTTCACAGACCATGATTTCGTGTCCTCAATAAAACTAATTAATACTCATAAAAGGAATGCAGCGAAAGGGGCTCCTGATGGGGAAGACTTAATACAGGGAGGATTCTTTGCAAGTCATTTACAGGCTCAATGCAATTCCAGGAAATGGCAGCCCGGTGAGATGGCTTTTTTCTTATAGTTCTATTCATTCATACTACATCTATTTACCAAGTGTGTAGTGTGTTCCAGGCACCTGCTGGGCTCTGCACGGGGGCTCTAAAGCTGTTCTTGCAGAGCCTATGGTTTAGTGTAGCTACGAAAAAAAAAGCCAGACCAGGTTTTCACATCAAATGCAGGAATCCAGTATACTGAAATAATCAGGTACACCAGAGAGCAGGTCAGAACAAGATACATGTCCTGCAGGACAGGGACCCGGTTCCCAGTCAAGCTGTTCTGGGTGGAAGTAGAGAAGAAGTTGGAAGAGTGGCAATCAGTTGGTTCTTGAGCTGAGAGACAAAGGAAGATAGGTACACGGGTTGGAGATTTAGTTCGGTGGCTTGACTACTAAGTACAAGGCCTGGGGTTAGGTCCCCAGCACTGAAAACCAGCAAGCAAACAAAAATAAATAAATGGAAGAAAGAAGAAAGAACATTCCAGATGGAAAAAACAGTACCCATAAAGCCCCTGTAGAAACCTGTTGCCTAAAGAACCAAGTTATGCTCATAAGACACATGAGAGCAACCATGATGGGCAAGAGGCTGGGGTCAGAGAAGCAGAGAGGCTGAGAAAGGAGACGCCATACCCACATAGGGCCTCTGGCTTAGGTGAGGATCTTGCAGGTTTTCTTTTTCCTGAACGAGAAGCAAAGAACATTTGTCGGTTGGTTGGCTGTTTGGAGTCTCACATTGACCACGTCATCTGTCCCAGCCCAGCCTCAAATTCACAGTCTTCCAGCCTCTGCCTGCTGAACGCTGGGATTGCAGCTGTGTGCCCACACGCCAGTGGCAGCAAAAGACCTGAGAGCAGGTCGCTGGCAGCCAACAAGAGTTGTTTTCCCTTTAAACACTGAGTTGGCTGCAGTGCGGAAGAAAAAAAACAGAGAGGTAGAAAGAGCTTAAGGACCCCAGGCAGGAGGCCACAGCACGATAGGTAAGGCCTGGTAGCAGCAGGACTTGGGAGTGGGGTGGGAAAGAAAGAAAGGCAGAAGGACAGAGTAAAGAAAGACCCCTAAGTTCCTGACCCGCACAAGCCTTGGGTGGTATGTCCTCAGAGACGGGAATGTGAGAAGACAAGCAACCCTTCTAGAAAAGGTAGACATCTTGACCTCAGACAAGGCATGCTCTCAGCATCTTTGGATGTCTAGGTTGGGGTGCAAAATCAATCGTTGAGTATCAGAGGGTGGGGAGGCAACAGAAAGGAGGGACTACAGGTGTTACCCTGGGAGTTGTTGGCATATAAACAGCAAACTGAAGTTAAGGGTTGTAGTTTAGACAGTGCGATCTAGAGCAGAGAGAAGAGAGGGAGGTTCGAGTTCTAAGACCTGAAACAAGGCAGAGCTATTTTGTAGACTTGGTCCACACAGACTTCGTGCAGTGTAGAAGGTGCTTAGTAAGGACCTTCCAGGCCAGGTGTGGTGTGCACACTTTTCATCTTAGCCCTCAGAAGACAGAGGCGAGGAGATCTCTGTGAGTTAGAGGCCAGCCTCATCTACATAGTGAGTTTCAGGCCAGCCGAGGCTACATCCAGAGACCTTGTCTCAGACCAAGGTATTATACATAATTTAAAGAGATTACCAGAACCAGAGTCAGATGGTAGCCCTGTTAAAAAATTATCAGACCAGGAATTAAAGACAAAAATAAACTCAATTGCGGGTTATATGCTGAAAGCTTTAATGGAAAAAATTAAATATGTAAAAAGATGTGACTAACATATGTTGGGAGATGGGAATTATACACACACACCCACACAGACACACACACAAACACACACAAACACACAGACACACAGATACACACAAACACACAGACACACACAAACACACAGACATACACATAGACACATACACATAAACAGACACACACAAACACACAGATACACACACACATAGACACATACACACAAACACACAGACACACAAACACACAGACACACAGACACACACATAGACACATACACACACATACACACACCCCAAATGCAAGATTCAAAACACAAGACAATTGAACAATGGTCAAGTGTGATGGTGTGCTCTTGTAATCCCAAGGAGACAAGAAGGATTAGGAGTTCAAGGGTGATTTAAATTACATCTGACCTTGCTTCACAAAGCAAGCAAAAAAGCAAACAAACAAACAAAAAACAATCAGAACAACAAAACCACACTATGAAAGAATACAGAGTGTCTCTGCTAAGAGAAACTTCCAAATACAACAGAGAGCTTGCCCTTCATCTCTTCCTCTGTGTGGAGACGTAGGGTACACTGTGATCTGGTCATCTCTTCCCCTGTGTGGAGACGTAGGGTACACTGTGATCAGGCAGTTGTCTACACACCAATGGAAGAGACCTCAGAATACCGCATGCCTTTCTGATAACTTGATCTTGTATTTTCTGCTCTCTAGAACTCTGAGAAATAAATTTCTCTCACTGAAGGCACTTGGCCTGATTTTATCATGGTAGATCAAACTGACTAGGATCTATCACCCACACCACCCAACAATGACAGATTCCATATCAGTCACAAGCTTGACTAGAACATTCACCAATACAGGCTGGACTCTGTAGGAGGAGACACACCTTTACAGAGTTTAAAAGACTAGAAATCATATAATGTTTGCTTTTAGTAATAAAATTATATCATAAACTAACAACAAAGCAATAGTAAGACAATCCACAGATATCGGAGATTAAAAAAAAAAAATTTACGGGACTAGAGAAATGGCTCAGTGGTTAAGAGCCTGACTGCTCTTCCAGAGGTCTGGAGTTCAATTCCCAACAACCACATGGTGGCTCACAACCATCTGTAATGAGATCTGGTGCCCTCTTCTGGTGTGTCTGAAAACAGCTACAGTGTACACATATGCATAAAATAAGTAAATCTTTAAAAAAAGTACATTTCTGACTACATGGGTTAAAGTAGTGGTTTCAAGAGAACTCCATCAAAATTAAATACTGAGACCTAAGTCTGAAGAAAAAAATAGCATTCCTTGTTATTTATTCAAGTGAACTGACAGTGTCTATCTACACCAAAAAAAAAAAAAAAATCTATGCTTATGTATAGTAACTTCATTCGTAACTGGAACAACCCAGAGGTCCTTGAGTGGGGAAATAGGTAAACTGAGGTATATACCCCAATAACGAATTTGCTCTAATATGAAAAGAAACCGGTGTTCAAGCCATACAATACAGGGACGTTTACATGTACCTTACATAGTGTAAGACACTGATCTGAAAGGTGTGTGTGGTGTATGATTTCAACTCCATGATGTTCTGGAAAACACAAAACTTTGGAGACGGCAAAAAGGTGGGTGGCTGTGGTTGCTACATTAGTTGGTTGGTGGGAGAGATTGAATACACGAGATGCAGAATTTTTAAGGCAGTGAAACTATTCTTTGTGATATCACAATGGAGAAATAGTAGCATTTTACATTTGTCAGGATCGAATGTGCTGCACTGAGAGCGAAGGTGGATGGCCCAGGCTGCTCTCTCTGCACTCTTGACTCATATGCTCAGAGTCTCAGGCTCTTTCTGACACATGAAAAATGCCATGGGTCCACCATCACATGGTGTGTTTCCTTAAATTCTAGACCATTCAGCCTCTCTGCAACCCAGAAGAAGGCAGAGCAGCTGTCACCTTCATCGAGCATTAGAGATTTGAAGTCCATAGGAATGAAATGGCATCCACATCATCGGGGTTGAAGCTGAAATCCCACCAGGGACCCCGGCTGCAGATTCTGAGGTTCCCTATGGGTCAAAGGTATCCCCCAGAAAATTCACACCTTGTCTCTGGGATACAGTATTTTTTTCCATGTGGCCCCAAACCCCCTCTGCCAATCTCTGATCTAGAATAGGGTGGGGAAGGTACCGGAGACAAGCACACCTACCCTATGGGTGAGGAAACTAAGGGAGAAAAACACTTAGGCAGAGTGACTCAGTGTGGTCATTCCAGGAGCAGGATCTGGTCAAGACATAACACTGACCGGTAGTTTGTGCCTGGTGTGGTTCTCTTCCTGTGATGCTCCAAGCAGCCTCCACCACATTAACAGCTGGGCTTGCCCCTTATTTGGACTCTGTAACTGCCGGCGTCCCACTTCAGTAGGTGGCATTAAGGGAGGCCTGTGTGCCCTGGGTCTCCACTGCCCTAATTTCCAAGCTCAGACCTAGATAGTGTGTCTAAATTTTCCTCGGGCCAATTGCTGCCCCAGATTCAACCTCTGTTGGCTAAATCTCCTCTCCCTGTCGGGGGCCGTGTCTCCCACTCCAACCCATGCTGGCTCTCCCAGATATCTGACTTTAAGGTCTCTGACAACATACCAAAGTCTCGCTCCAAATGCACAGGACACTATGGAGAAAAGGCCAGAACTCTGATGAGATCAAGATGCAAGGAGTGTGGAAACCTTAGAGCTCAAACTTGGGGGGGGGCACAGCATTATCATGAGGGTCCATCTAGGGGTCCTACTCCCTTATCTGCCCTTCCTGGGTGCCGGGGATACATATGGTACACAGACATGCATGCAGACAAAACTCCCATACACATAAAATACTTTATAAAGACACTAAACTCCAATTTCAACCCCGCATCTCCAAATTAAAATCTTCAATCTTGTTTTTTGTTTTTGTTTTTATTTGCGCTCCATGAAAAGACTCTAGCTCAGCGGTTCTCAACCTTCCTGATGCTGCCACCCTTTAATATAGTTCCTCTTGTTGTGGTGACCCCTAACCATAAAAGTATTTTGTTGTTACTTCATAACTGAAGTTTTGCTACTGTTACGAATTGTAACGTGAACATCTGAAATGCGGGCTAGCTGATATCCACAGGCTGAGAGCTGCTGCCGTCTAATTGGAAGAATAAACTGGCACAGAAGGGGAGATTTTTGGAGGACCAACAAAAGCGGACTACCCGAGTGGTTTGAAATTAAGCCCTAATGTAAAGCTTCGAGAATCAAATCAGCCCAGTCTTGATGGCTTCCGAGGTTACCATCTTATCTTAAGCTGGGTGCTGTGCCAGAGTGTGGAGGGTTTGGGTCCGAAGGACACGTGTGTTTCTTGACTTTTGGGCATGTTTTAGAGTCCCATCAGGGGTAATGGGGAAGGCACTGAGTTCCTGAACTGAATTACAGTAGGGCACTGAATACAGCCGATGGCCTCAGGTCTGTGGCTGTCCTGAGAGAGGAAAATGCAAGTGACAAGGTTAAAGGTTGTGGATCGGGTCAGTCTCCCATTGGCAGTCTCCTCTGAGCACCAGTCTGCAAAGCCAGACCTCACCTATGCAGGCATGGCCAATAATTAATAACAACATGAGCACAGTGCTAAGAGAAACAGCTCGTCATTACGCACACACCACACGCATTGTGTACACGCAGTATGTCAAATGCTTTCAATGCAATGTCTTGCTTCATTTCTGTAACGCCCCTTAAAGGGATGGGCCTTATTATTTTCTTTGCTTTTTGGGTGAGAACACTGACATTCAGAGAGGGTAAGCAACTTGTCAGGGGTCATACAGTTAGAAGGGCTAAGGTCAAATACAGGCACCGGCAGTCTCGCCCCAGGTTTCCCTCTGCTTACAACCTGCCCTGCCCTTCAGGTGTGGATTCAAGTGGCTCAAATGATACAAGAGTCCCCTTAGCCTTCAGGCTGGTTTAAGCCCGTGCTGAGCCTTCACGGGGCTTGTATCGCTGATGCCAAAAAGAGCGAAGGGATAGATCTCTGAGGTCCTCAAACCCCATCACCTTTATGGATCAGAAGTTCCCCCAGCCCCCATCTCCCATCTACCCCCTCTGTGGATAACTGAAGCCGTTGCAACCTGCTGTGGATATCAGCAAGCCACTTATGAAATGTTTAGAAGGCTTTGTCTCAAAGACGCACTCACTCGTTCGTTTCCTGAGGGTTCACAGGAGAAAAAAAATGCTTCCCACCAAGATGGTACAGGAAGGTACAGACACTGTCACCTCAGTGGCCTCATTGCTCCATCCCTTCTGAAACTTCTTAGGTAAGTTTCTGGATGCCCAATGCAACACATACACGCACACACACACACACACAAACACACACACACACACACACATCTCCTAGTGCCAGCTGTGTCTGGGGGGCAGGGCTGAGTCTTTCTGCCCAGCCACGCACCACGGGCTTACCTCTCTCTGCTCCCTCTGAAGGCACAGTTCTTCTGTCTCCTCCATCAGCTTGTCTGCCAAAGCAAGCACACACACACTGAAAACTGCTCAGAGGTGTGAGGGCAGGTGTCTTAGGCGGCCTCTGTCACCTGTGCCATCTCCTTGGGAGAGCCACTCCTAGCCTGGGGTTGGGTCCTGCTCTACTGACGCTGTCTCACTGGCCCAAACTGCCTTTCCAGCCACCTTCTCTGCTTTGTGCCTTCATGGATGCACAGAGGGCTTGGGCACAGAGGCTCAGATGGGTCTTTGCAGCCTGTGCTGCTGTAATCTCCTACTACTGAGCTAGTGCCTGGTTAATCTGGGAGGCCATATTCCTGCCAAGGGAGAGGTGCCTAGAGCAGGCAGAGAGGAGCCAGATGCCTCAACAGGCTCCCAGGAAGGGGATCAGCCCATTCTCTCCCAACTAGAGGGTATTTAGCAGATCATAAGGGCACAGGGCCTGGATCCTTGTAGCTAAGTTCAAAGTGGGTCTGGTGAGGAGAAGAGAGGTAGGTGCAGGACCTGCACTCAGGCAGGAGAATATTTTTTCTGTTTCTAGATCTTTCAACGGAAGACCTGACGCAGACACACACCCAGGCATTTTCTCTTTAAGCTGATCTCCGCCCTACCTCTAACACCTGACGTCATTATGGTCTCTTCCTTAAGGAGAAGGAAATTGAGGCTTACAGAGACTGAGTGGCCGACTCATCCACAGAACAAACAGGTAGATGACAGGGCTAAAGCCCAGGTTCTGGCCACTAGTGACCCCTGCTTCTAGCTTTCTGGCCAAAAGGGCATTTATCACACCATTAAGTTCTATAGGTGCCAAGCTCCCTTCCAAGTCCCAGAGAAAATTCTCATACCATTCCCACCAGGTCCCTCTCTAGCTGTCACTTAGAAACTGATTCCAGTTCACCCTGGTCACCAACCTAAATATTCCTGTTTTTCCTTAGCCAGCTGTAGCCCCTGTGCCTCCAGGCTTTTGATCATAGCTTCTCCTAGCTGGGCATTTTTCCAGGTCCTAGGGAGGAAAAAGCAGATGGGAGAGAGGAAATGAGGAAAAATACAAACAGTTAAACCAGAAGGAAGGCCCAGGGAGGAGAGTATACATTTTCTGTGTTAGCCCCACCCCTTGCTCTACAGAATCTCAGCTCAGTCTGGCACCAAGGGCTCTGGGCAAGCCACCAGCATTGATCAGTTACAGTAACTGGAAGCTGAGGTTGCAAAGTGGGCCACCGGGACAGAGCCAAGAGCACTCACGGAGGACGGGTGGGACTGCTTCCCTAGGAGCCTTCTCTATCACTGCATGCATGCCTACCACCTGGTGCAAGGCTGGGTACTCGGTGTTATTGTTTAGGTTAGAAGTACAAACTGGCTCGAATAGGCACAGGCTGTGGTCAGGTGGTTTCTGGGACCTGCACTGTGATTTGTAAACACCGTCTCTGGGCCTTGCCAGGGGTCAGTACAGGTCTGGGAAGGGAAGATGGGTGTACTGAGGTACTGAACACGAGGAGCAATGCTTAGCTCTCTCCCTAGAGTTGGAAGTAAATGGTGTCCACATCTGTCATCATTGAGGACACCTTCTCAAACTCACCACTTAGGGGACCCTCACAGATGCTCTACAGCCTGAGTTATCTCCTCTCACACACCCTAGGCAGCTCCCACAGCCCTGTCTCAGGACCCAGCAGAGAAGCAGGTGAGCAGGGCCACCCCAGCCCCACGCCCACTCATCTGGCCCCTCGGATGCCCTGCTGGCAGACACTTACACCTTCCCAGACTCCTGCAGCATCTCAAGCCATTGTGTCTGCTCAAACTCGGACTCAGCAGCCAACAAGACATTCCCCTGCCGGGAAAAGAAGCCAGAGTGAGAGGTGAGAGAGAGAGGGCGGGGAGGGGGAGGGAGGTGATTTCTTCTCCTCCCACCCCATCTTCCACGGGCCCTGACAGCCCTCTCAGGCTAGATCACAGAGGGCTGTTTCCAGGGGACCAAGATGAAGCTGCTTTGTCCTGTGGAGCCTGGGCTATGGGAGGGTCCCCACTCACGTGGAAGTCCTGGTGTGAGATCTTCATGGCATAGGGCATACTGGGCTCCTCTCTGGCCTCCACCAGGCAGCCACCCAGCGGGATGACACCCTGAAGAACAAAGCAGAGCAAGCAGCTCCCACCCTACCCAGCTCACATCACTTAAGTGTCCCAGGAACCTCCTGGAGAAAGCCAAGGGGTTTGCCAAGGGCCTCAGGCTGGACCACATCTCAGGATCATGCCGTTAAAGCTGACTGACTTCCAGAAAGAAAGAGAGCTGGGACTCAGGAAGTGTGTGTGGAAGGAAGGACCCAGCCCAGAGGCTGGAAGGGGGTGCCTTGAGTCCTGAGAAGATTTGCTCTCGAGATTCTAAACTAAATCAACAAAGAGTTCTCTACCATTCCCAAATGTCCCCAGTGGCCTCCCTCAGTGTGGAAGGCACCCCTCACCTTTGGATGAATATTGAAGTATTTATTGGTTTCAAAGCTCTTTCTCTCACTCTCAGAGTAGTAAAGCAGAAAGCTTTCTTTGATGATGAAAAACCTATGGGAAGGCGTGAGAAAAACACGGAAAGATCCTGTGAGTCAACAGCACCCTTGGGGGCCCTGGACTCACATGGGAGCCCATGAGGACACCAGTTCCCACTGCCCGTTGCCCAGAGGTCTCAGAGGCCTCCTGGAGAGGCAGTGAAGGAGGAAACTGATGACTGGCTTCTCAGCCTGCCCTCTTCAGCACGGCAGAAACCTGTTGTCTTTCTCCTCGGGTCCCTTTATCCTCTGAACTATCAGCTCCGGTCAAGTGGGAACTGCTCCAGGTCTGGATGGAGGATTCGACAGATGGGTTGTAGATGGTGTTATGGTGTAATCACACTGCTCTCCACTGCTGAGGTCTGTAGTCCTGGTACCCCAAGGTGATATCTGCATTGTCATTTATCCCAAAGTACTCACATCCTTTCTGGGACTCAAGTCTAACTGGGATCAAAGTGGCCATGGTACTTTCTGGTTACTGGGGAGGCAAATCCTCAGTGTCAACATGGCCTTGGCTTACCTTGAGGATTCCTACAGAACTAGAAGCAACTATAACTGGAGAGATGGCTGAGCCGTTAAGAGCACTCACTGACTGCTCTTCTAGAGGTCCTGAGTTCAATTCCCAGCAACCACATGGTGGCTCACAGCCATCTGTAATGGGATCTGGTGCCCTCTTCTGGTGTGCCTGAAGACAGCTACAGTGTACTCATATAAATAAAAGTAAGTAAAAAGGCTGGGTGGTGGTGGCACACACCTTTAATCCCAGCACTTGGGAGGCAGAGGCAGGCGGATTTCTGAGTTTGAGGCCAGCCTGGTCTACAAAGTGAGTTCTAGGACAGCCGAGGTTACACAGAGAAACCTGTCTCGAAAAACAAAAAAAGTAAATAAATAATATTTTTTAAAGAAAGAGTGGGAAAGAAAGAAAGAAAGAAAGAAAGAAAGAAAGAAAGAAAGAAAGAAGAAAGGAAGAAAGGAAGAAACCAAGTGTGCTCCAGGGAGAGCCCCAGTTAGGCCTTAAAGTTCCTGGGGCTCAAAGACACTAGAGTTCTCTCACCTCCAGGGACACTGCTGCGATGTGACCTGGAAAGGAGCTGGAGGGATCCTGAGTTTGCACATGTGTGTATGTGCATGTGCGTGTGCGTGTGCGTGTGTACATACAAGGGGAAGTTCAGAGCAGCGACATGTTGGAACCTTCTAGGATAGACTCACAATGGCCAACAGTGTGACTTTCTTACCTGCTTAGCATTCTGTGAAATGACATAGGCAACTTGATATAGGTCATGGCAGGAATGTTTGCACATGAAAATCAAATACTGCAGAACCACCCCAAGAGCCAGTTATTAAACCATTCACTGGACCTTCTTGTGAGGAGCTTGAAAAAAATGTTAAGTGGCATCAAGAACTCACAGGATCCTTGCAGGTCCCCCAGTTGCATGATCTTCCCTGTGACCATAGCTGATCTGGGGTAGAATGGAGGGGTAGCCTGGATGACTGTAGCCTCTGCTCCCTCTCCAGAGGGACCTGAAGTTCAGCTTTGTAGTTTGGTATGAGTTCCATGATTTTGCCTTTTTCCCCCAACTCTCTTTTGAGGTATGTGTGGAGTCTTCCTATGTTGCCCTGGCTGGTCTTGAACTCATAGACTTGAACAATCTCCCTCATCTCAATTTCCTGAGCAGCTGACACCACACAGCTGTACCACCATGCCTGCCTTCAACTCATTTTCTGTATTCGTGTCAACAGGACAAATGCAGCCCTGGTGGAACCATGTGTTTGGGTTCTTGCACTTAGCATTCAATACCCATTGCCACAATGTGTGTTTCTTTATCTAGACAGGGCCACTGGGCTCCTGAATGCCATGCCACATCAGTCCCTAGGGAAAGGCAGATATCTCCTGACAGTTCCAAAAGAACCTCACAGGGTAGGTAAGAGCTCAGACCTTGAATTTTCTGGCTTGGGGATGGGGAGTTTAGGTAAGGACACTCAGCTCACTGAGCCTTAGTCTCTGTAGCACAGAAGTGATGGTACTGACATTAGGGGGTGGTTGTGTGGACTGAATGCAACTGTACTTATAACCCAGCCTGTGTGTGAAGGATCCGGGGTGAGGTGGAATGTCCCATGGTCTGGTGAGGTCCCTCAGCAGGAAAGGCAGGCAAGCAGAATAGAGCTGCCTCCCCACCCCCACAATAGAGCCTCATGAACCCCTTAATATCTAGACACTGGATTTCTAGGCGGTAACAATGGTTCAGTGAGCTAATATTTAGGCAAGACTGTGATTGTGGAGTTGTGGCTTTATAATTGAGGAACTGGGCTGGAGTTGCAGGGGGTGGGTGGGGGTCACTGTTGATAGAATCCTTGCCTAGCATGCACAGAGCAATCTGTAGTACCACATAAAGTAGGAATTGTGGCACACATGAATAACTCCAAATATCCAGGAAGTAGGTAGAAGTTCAAAGTCACTGTGATGGTTTGTACATGCTTGGCCCAGGAAGTGTCACTACTGGGAGGTGTGGCCTTGTTGGAGTAGGCATGCCACTGTGGGCTTTAATACCCTTGTCCTAGCTGCCTGGAAGTCAGTCTTCTCTTAGAGGCCTGCAGATGAAGATGTAGAACTCTCAGCTCTGTCTACACCATGCCTGTCTGGATGCTACCATGTTCCCACCTTGATGATAATGGACTGAACCTCTGAACGTGTAAACCAGCCCCAATTAAATGTTGTCCTTATAAGAGTTGCCTTGGTCATGGTGTCTGTTCACAGCAGTAAAACCCTAAGACAGTCATCCTCAATTACGTAGTGAGTTCAAAGCTAGCCCAGTCATGATGCTCCTATCCGCCCCCACCCCCAAAAAAGTGCCTCACTAGTAGCACATGCCTTTATAATCTCAGGCTGAGATACAAAAGCCACAAGTCTGAGGTCGTCCTGAGCTACATAGAGGCTCCTATGTCAAAAGAATAAGAGAAGGTAATCATAGAAGAGAGGGCAGGTACGTTAGACACAGAGTCCACAGGTACCAAGGTCCTGGGGTTGAGAATGCAGCTGGTTCTAAAAGGAACCAGAAGGCTGAAGCAAGACTCCAATCCCTGGATCCAGACTGCACAGGCCTCTGTGGCTTCTGTCATAGTAATGATGGCAGGGCTTACATTCATTGAGCCATAACCACCCCAGCCTACCCTGACTTGCTTCTGTTAATGCATTTAACACTCACAGCCACCCTGCCAGGCGGGTGCTGACAAAGCTCCTGAGCTTCCTGTGTAAGGAAATGGAGGCAAGAGATGGCCCGAGGAGCTGGGACTATTTGGTAGCAACTGGCTTTCTCTCAGAGTAAGATGGCCATGGGAGGGCTTCGGACAGGACTGACATGGGTAGCTTTGGCTGCTGCATGGGCAACAGATTGTCCTGGCATAGGCAGGGGATCTGCTAAAAGCTATCGACACGTATCACTGGGGCAAGAAATATGTAGAGTAGACAGAGGTTTGCAGAGTTCCCAGTAACTTCTCAATAAACAGGATGTCCCCTGATGTCAATCCCCTCCTGGAGCCAGCACAGGGAGACAGAGGAGACGCTCCAGATAGCCTTCACTCCATGGCAGCCACACTTGAGCAGGCTGAGAGTCACCATGGACTACCATACGAGGCACAGACCTGGAGGCGGAGGGCAAGCTCCTCCCCACCACGGTTCATCTGATGAGGTCTTTGATTATCAAACTGTGTTGGTGGCGGCTACTCTGACACCTTTTGGCTTCTACTCTGCAGCTGGGGCCCTTGCAAGTCTATGCCAGATTGCAAAGAGGGGCATTCTTCTTCCTTTACCTTCCTCCAGAGTCCCCATGTTCTGGGCACCCTCATTCAGTAGCAAGGCTGGAACAACCTCCTCTGGGTCCTGAAGAGCTATGACTGCAGGGGCTGGTCACAGGTGCCATTTTCCTGTGTTAGCTTCAGTGAGCCAAGTCATGAGAGAACCTGCTCCTAAGGACAACGCTGGAAGCGGGGCCTTTCACTCCCATTTCTCAGATGAGGAAAGAAAGGCTTAGATGTGAAGTAAGTAACTGTGGAAGAAGGATTGGAACCCAGGACCGCAAGATCCTCTTCCTGCTCCTTATTTGGCTCACCGAGCTGATGTCCTGGCTTAAGCCACACCCAGGATAGAGGCTTAGGTAGCCAAGTTGCCATAGCGGAGGTGGGAGACTCACCACTTACTAGCAGTGCTGGGGTGAGGCATCTAGTCTCCTGAGGCCTCGGGTCCCTCGTGTGGAACTTGAGGACGGTAATCAATGGTTATCTCTCACGCCTGGGAGGGAAAGGATCACGTGAAGACTTAGCTCCTAGTGGGCGCTCAGGAAAGGATCGTCACTATCTGATCTCTGCTACTCCTTAGCGTGAAGTTCAGCATCCACGCAGGCACCCTGCCCCGCTTTCCATTTGTGCTCACACGGCAGCTACCGAGGAGAGCATGGCTGCACCCAGCTGGCTGGCTACCTGCTTTCCAAATCTGTATACAGCCCTGTCCTCCTCCTATCCAGGAGAAGTTTTACCATCTATCAGCTTCCCTGGGTTATGGGAAGCCTGGAGTATGTGCAAGGTAAAGGTTCCATTCAGCCCTGGCTGCCTCCTCTCTCCAATACTACGACTGCTATTACTATTATTATGCTGCTGCTGTTACTATTATTATTAATTTATCTATTTTAAGACAGTGCCTTTGGTGGCCTAGGCTGACCTCAAACTCCCTACATAGCTGAGGCTGACCTTGAACCTTTGACCTTCTTGCCTCCATCTCTTGAGTGCTATGATTACAGGCATGAGTCACCATAAAGTGCTAAGAATTGAACCCAGGCCTTTATGCATGCTAGACAAGCAGTCTATCAAGTGAACCATATCCTCAGCCCCACTCTGGCATTTCTACCTGCAGATGAAAGACTATTTAGAAGTCAGCAAGGTATGCCCTTTGCTACACATACTTTATTGTATCTATCTGTCTGTCTATCTATCTATCTATCTATCTATCTATCTATCTATCTATCG